ACTGTTTTGTATTATTTTTGCCAGGACTCTTTAGAAAAAGAGTGCCCTGCTGCATCTATCACAGGAATAAGCATTGCTTCTAAACTCTTGTCTTGAATTGAATCCTATAACAAAGAAGGAGCAACTATGTATTAAATCTATTGCATTTTTGCTATCATTGAAATCACTGAAATGCTAAAATTAAAATTCTTATTCCTGGGAGTAATTAGTTTAAGTAATTTGTATAATCTTAGATACAAACATCTATTTCTAGTCTCATTAACGTGATACAAATGACACCTTATACAAAATGCTACTGCAGATTACAGTTGTGCTAATTACAGTCAATGCATTTCCAAAGCTACTGTTTATAAATTCAGGCATCAATCTCTTGATCTGTTCAGTTTTAACAGTAATAATGCATTAAATAGCACAGTAAATAAAGCAAGCATTTAATCGTTGGGTTTACTGGTGACAAAAAAAAAAGTTTCATAGATTTCAAGATAATTAAACTAAAGTGATTTTTGCAACCAAACATGAGATTTAAGAGAACTTTGTCAAAAAATACACAAGGGGACAGAGTAACCTAAACAACCATAGAAATGAATTTAGTAAACAAATATGGAAGTCGGTACCACTAATAGCAGATTTGTTACATAACAAAAAGCAAATTAAGCACAGGCTCAGATGAATGCAATTCTCATGAAGTCAGGGAGATACAAGCAAGCGAAGAATTTAATCTTCCCTAATCTTCTCACATGGTATGATTAATCAGCCACCTGGAAGACAACTGCTATGGAGATAACAAGAGAAACAATGCAAAATTACCAGAATTGTGCCACTACAGAGTTAAGCACCTGAACAAAATACTGCATTCCCCTGCTCCCTCTTGCAGATGGGACTCAGCAGTGTGTGATTCCTGACACAACAGAGTAACATCCTTTGTCGCGACTGGTTCCTATTAGCGGCGCTTCTCCGTAGAGCTGATACAAAGGCTAAAGGTCAGTGATCATCGAAGCATGGATGAAAATATAAGGCCTCATTTAGGTTGCATAACGTCCACTAGAGAAGTTAAGCAACACCTGTTTGTTAAACAGGGAGCTGGTGTCGCCAGAGATCGGAGAGAAGGAGCTGGGCAGCAGGAGGAGAGCGCTGGGAGACGATCTCTGTGGTCCCAGCACCTGAGGGAGCCTCTCGTGACTCAAACCACAAATAAAACCAGTGTGTCCTTGTCATGTAAATAATTATTGCCATTCTCAAGAGCTGTGTGCAGGATACAGTTTCAATATAGTCTTGCTGTACATTCCTATACATGCATCTTAAAACCTGTGTTTTTAATTTTTAAAAAAGAAACTGCCTATATATGTGAATCCGATACCTGACAAATGGGATTACCTTGCTTAAAATACATCTACATTCCTTGTGGCTGGGGCGAGCGCCTTCAAAATATTCTGATTAATTTCATATGGGCTAGAATATAGGTTTGCTAAGGACAGCAGAAAGAAGAGTCAAAACATTCTTTCAATTTTACACTATTAACGTTAGCACCCTCGTACTTTACATCATATTTCTTGTTTGGATCCGAGTCCACACACACGTCCACATGTGCCCAACTTTCACTTTACGTGGAGGCCGATCCATATTTAGAAACATAAAAACAATAGAATAGTAACACAAAATAGAAATGATCTCTGGGAAACCAGTGCAAAAGGAAAACACGTAGGCTTTTACAACCTCAGTGCATGCACAAACATCCTGCTCCCTGTGGGTTTGACTGAGCAAAACATACTCTCCCCAGCTGCCCTAGGTCACCCCTGTGGCCCTGCCACTACGCCAAGAGATCACGCTTGTCACCCTGTGAAAGGGCAAGCTGCAGTTACAGGCAGCTTTAAAATTTGGGATAGACGCAAGACGTTACGAATGACTGCACAGCTAAGGTTTGGGTACCAGCGAGCAGGAACAGCTGGAGTGGGGTGAGTGGGCAAGGGCAGCCTCTGCAGTTGGGGGCAGCTGCTGCAGCAGGTCAGAAATGTCAGCAGAAGAGAAGTGGCTCTGACAGTGCCCAAGCCACAGCCCCGCACGTGACCGTGCCATCTCGCAGGGCTACAAACAGTCTTTCTAAGAGAAATGGGAAATTTATCACGTTATATTTTCGAAGAGAGGATAGGATAGCGGTGAACCCAAAGTATTTTCTCAGATGAGGTCATGATTGCACTTCCTGGCTAATTACTGAGAAAGAGTCCTAAAGATAAGAAAGAGATGAATCAGGAAGTAAATCTGCTCTTCACCCCAACGACCAAGTTAATGCTTTTTTTTTTTTTTCCCTTGAGCTGGTACACATCTCATAATGCGCTTAGACTCCAGGGCTGGAAAACAAACAGCCGTGTCCTGAGAAACCAGCCACCCTGACAGTCCAGGACAACGAGGGGACACTGCTCTCCAAGAGGAAGGTCTGCGTGTCCTCACTTCTCTGCACAAAGCAGGAAATGAGCAGTTCAGAAGGGAAAACTCATCATTCACAAAACACAAAATGACAGAGAAGTCAAAGAAATATAGTCCCTGACTCAGTGAACCTTCAGTCTCAAGAGGTTTCACTAGAAGCGGGACAGAAAAATTTTATGCAACTGTCATTTTTAAATTCTCCCTTGTATCTCTGGGATATCGTTAACAATTGTAAGAGTGATCTCTTGACATAGTGGCAGGGACAAAAGGGGCAGCTGGGCAGAGTATGTTTACTCAGTCAAAACCACAGGAAGCAGAATGTTTATGTATACAGTATGGCTGTAAAAGCATATCATAAAATTTTAAGACTTTCTTCGTCTCGGTAAGAATGATACAATTTAAGTCAAACAGCTGGAGGGGTGTTCCTGTAACAAAACAGTTTTGTTTTAATCTTTTTCAAGAAACTGCAGTAAATTTGAAAGCATGCTGATGTGAAAGTGGTACAAAATAATGTGAAATTATACAGTATTCTCTTTATTTTACCTGTATTCAGGGTACAAAAGTGGTTTCTGCAGACAATCCCCACTGCTGCCCGGCCTCACATGCTCAGCACTGCAGTTGCTGCAAAGCAAATCCTTAATCTTCTGGCCAATAAACTGGGCAGCAGCTTGACCAGAGCATGTGGAAACTCGTACAAGAGCAAAACCACCTCGGCAGCTCGTTACGATGTTAAAATACAGAACCCAAGCACCTGCTGAAGCGCCAGGGCTGGCAGCAGCTCCCCAGCACCAGCACCTCCACCATGGAGACATCTCTTTGCTCATACTGGTCATATGCAGCAGCTGCCGAAAGCACGCGGTAGCAGCAAGGATGTGATTTTCTGTCCTCTCTTCCGTGTTTAATTCTCCCACAGCTCTGAACCCATCAAAAATTATTCTAAAACCAAATAAAATTACTGTCCTTAGTCCCTTATTAAAGATATTTATGCTGGGTTTCACTGTTTTTGTACACAGACGCCTGTACAGAGTGTGTTAGTCAGGAAAAAAGTTAAAATATTTTGTATTATCAAGAATATATAAACTTTGAACAAAAAGCTGTAGTCAAAGAAAGTATTGCTGCCAAAACACCTGAAAGAACTTTGGTAGATAAGTCTTCTGAAGAAAATGAAAAAGTGAAAGCAATAAATAAATCTGATTGTAATCATCTCAAGTATAGCAGATGAGAATTATTTATGCCTATGATTTTACATTTTATTTAGTGGCAGACTAAAAAAAAATCTAGTTATTCTAAGCATTATGCAATACTGGCAACGGCATGCAGAGAACTAATGTGATGCTGTTATCAGCTGCATCTGTTCAATTATTCAAAAACCTCCCCACCAAACCTGTACTTTTTAAGGCAAAGCAGAAAGGGAGGTATATTGGCATCCAGGTGATATTGAGCTCAAGGCAAATCTTACTAGGGTGAAAATACTAGGGGGGGGAAAAGAAGAAATAAAAGGGCAACCAAACCCAAGAACCCAAGAATAAAATCCTGAATGGTCAAAGTCTGAACTGAAAAATTGTCTTCAGTTTTTTCCACAGAAAATTGCATTATTGCCTGTGTAAACGTTTCCCATGATTATGCAGCTTTTTACAACTCAACCCAGAACAGTTAAAATTAATGGTTGTACTATGTAGTGTTACATAAGTTAATTTGCCAGAGCAAATGACAACCTTTCTTAACTCTACTGGTTTGACCAAAGTAAGCTCAATGCAGGATGAAAATGGTGCATCTCCTACTAGAGAAGAAAATTCTTTCCTAGGATACACTGCAGTGGCCTCCCACTGCCTGCCCCAGCACTGAACAGGCTGAAAACAGTCATATTTTTCCCATTGGATTCAAACCCATAATATATATAAAAAATTTTTTATTTCAAATAACATTTAATCCAGATGATTATGAAAGCTAAAAAAAGAAAACAAAAAACCCTTGCTGGTAACTTAAAAGTTCAATGGCTGGTGCTGTATCAGCAACTTTTAACATGCCAGCAAAACTGATCACATAAAGCTTTCATAAATACTCAAATTGCCACAAACGGCAAAGTTCACCCTGGGCTAAAAGGTATGTGGATGGTACTGCACATCTTCTGCCGCGGCAATCAGTTATGGTTTCTCATGTTTGAAACTTCCAAGTTTGTGCTGTTCACAGCCCAGTTTTCCAAAAATCTCATCTAGTTAGGTGATTGCTTCCTTTTATCCCAAGAGGAAAGAAGTACGTTAGGTCTCTGGGCCTGAAAGATCTCTTTTTGGATCAAGCACTGGCACAGGCTGCCCAGAGAGGTTGTGGAGTCTCCTTCTCTGGAAACTTTCAAAACTCACCTGGACACATCCCTGTGTGGCTGCCCTAGGGGATTCTGCTACAGCAGGAGGGTTGGACTAGATGATCTCTAGAGGCCCCTTCCAACTCCCAACGTTCTATGATTCCATTTTTTCCTATGATTCCATTTTTTTTAGTCTCTAACCCTGAATTCTGAGACACGACCATTTGACAAGAAGACAAGGGAACAAAAAAATATAAAACATTATTTATTAATGATTTCAGAAGTCATCTTCTGAGTCACAATCCTCATTTTTTTGCAGTGGCCGCTTAACACCAAGTATTAAATCTATGGAGAGAAGCTCTGTAACACAATGAAGAACTGAAATGACCAACTGGTATTTGCAATACACTAATTCTAAGCCTCTCTCGTTCATAGGCAGTGGCTGGTTTTTTTGGAGCGCATTTATGACTTTGAGATAGAATTTCGTGAAGCTGTTTTGTTCTGTTGTCCTGTACAAAGACTTGGGAATACTTAGCAAAGCATCAGCAACTACATTAGATACAACAGTTACCTCTGACTGCTGCAACTGCTTTGCATAGTACCGAATGTAATAATGCAGCAGGATTTCAAAGTAACCTCCTACTGGCAAAACCGATCCTGCTTCTATGAGGGAGCTGGAGCAATTCTGTGCAATACTTACACAACTGTCCTCGTGTTTAAATGGGACTATATCGCAACTTGTTTTCTCTAGATCTTTGCCAGCATCTAGGTGTTCACATGCAGTGACTGAGCTAGAATTACGTGCTGCCAACACAGCAGCGCTGTCCTTCTTTGGATTGGCTGCACGTGCATCGCTTCTATCATTCTCATGCACGTTACCCAGATGCTCGCATTCTGCACGTGGCTTCTGTACGTCTCCTGAAAAGTGAATGCTGAATTCTTTGATGTGTGAAATGGGATTTGAAGGCGTTCCTAAGTATGTTTGCACATACGCTGGATTTTCACTTCCCTGCAAACCAGGGTCTATGATTTGTGTCTCTGTTTCATCCCTATGTGCTCCACATTCAGAAACCTGATTACAAGAAATATTTTCTATTACGAGCTGCTTCTGAGCAGCTGAAGAATGCCAACTGTAAACTTCTGAGGCTTCACTCTGGCTTTCACCTTCTGCTTTGCATTCCTCCCTCTGATCAACTGTTTTAAATAGCTGCTGCAGCATTGTAAATGCCCCCTCTAAAGCAGCAGCATGCTGCTCATTAACACCATCAACTGGAGCACACAGAATTAGGCAGTGGGGCTGAAAGGCACACACGCTGGTGAAGCCAACGTGAACATATCTCTTTGACCCAAGGAGCAAGGGCTGGCAAAATGTTGCCGCTGCCGTTTCGCTGATCTCTCCATATGCATTATCACCAAAAGGTGTATAAGGCGAGACTCCTGTGATTTCCTGGATAAGGGCAATTTCTTCTTCTGATAAGCACTCTACCACAGATATACCGTGCAATTTTGTGTAGTAGATAACTTCTTCCTCTTGCTTCACGCTCGACAGTAACAGCCTCACGTTGTTGCCCTGCAAGTGGCTCATTAAGGCTCCCGTCCTCCTCGTGATCCAGTGCTGGGAGGCCTCATATCGCCCCTCTGAGTCGACAACAAATTCCACGCCGGGGCCCGAGAGGGCA